ATGATTGAGCACTTCCAGTGCTGCATACGTTTGCTGAAACATCTCAATTGGTATTCCATCAATTCCTGGAGCCTTGCATTTCGCTAATGCCTTCAGTGCAGCTTGGACTTCTTCCTTCAGTACCATTGGTTCCTAATCATATGCTACCTCTTGAAATAGTTGAATATTGACCAATTCTTTTTGGTATAGTGACGCTGTGTATTCCTTCCATCTTCTTTGGATGCTTCCTGAGTCATTTAATATTTTTCCCGTAGAATCCTTCATATTGCAGCTCGAGGCCTGAATTTTTTCTTCAACTCTTTCAGCTTGAAAAATGCCGAGCTTGTTCTTCCCTTTTGGTTTTCTGTCTCCAGGTCTTTGCACACGTCATTATAATACTTTTCTTTGTCTTCTCGAGCGGCCCTTTGAAATCTTCTGTTTGGCTGTTTGACTTCATCATTTCTTCCTTTTGCTTTAGCTACTTGCCATTCAAGAGCAAGTTTCAGAGTCTCTTCTGACATCCATTTTGCTCTTTTCTTTCTTTCCTGTCTTTTTAATGATAGTGACCTCTTGCTTTCTTCATGTATGAAGTCCTTGATGTCATTCCACAACACGTATGGTCTTTGGTCACTAGTGTTCAACACGAGACGGTCTCTAAATTTAGGTGGGACATACTCAAGGTCGTACTTTGGCTCTCGTGGACTTATTCTAATTTTCTTCAGTTTCAACTTGAACTTGCATATGAGCAATTGATGGTCTCTTCCACAGTCAGCCCCTGGCCCTGTTCTGACTGATGATCTTGAGCTTAACATAGTCTCTTTCCACAGATGTAGTCAGTTTGGTTCCTGTGTATTCCATCTGGCAAGGTGCATGTGTATAGATGCCATTTATGTTGGTGAAAAAAGGTATTTGCAATGAAGAAGCCATTGGTTTTGCAAAATTCTATCATGAAATTTCTGACTGCCTTTCTCTCACCAAGGCCATATTTTCCAACTACCAATCCTTCTTCTTTGTTTCCAACTTTCATATTTCAATCACCAGTAATTATCAATGCATCCTGATTGCATGTTTGATCAATTTCAGACTGCAGAAGTTGGTAAAAATCTTCAATTTCTTCATTTTTGGCCTTAGCGCTTGGTGCATAAATTTGAGTAATAGTTGTATTAACTGATCTTCCTTGTAGGTGTACGGATATTACCCTATCACTGACAGTGTTGTACTTCAGTATAGATATTGAAATGTTCTTTTTGATGATGAACACGACGTCATTCCTTTTCAATTTGTCATTCCCAGCATAATGGATCATATGACTATCTGATTCAAAACGGCCAATACCAGGCCAATACCGCCCAGTAATGACTAGGATATCCATGTTTATGCGCTCCTTTTCATTTTTGATGATTTCCAATCTTCCTAGATTCATGCTTTGTACATTCCACATTCATATTATTAATGGATATTCGCAGCTGTTTATTCTCATTTTCAGTCATCCACATCAGCAAATGAAGGTCCCAAAAGCTTGACTCCATCCACATCATTAAAGTCAACTTTACTTTGAGGAGGCAGCTCTTCCCCGGTCATCTTTTGGGTGCCTTCCAACCTGAGGGGCTCATCTTCCAGCACTATATCAAACAATGTTCCGTTGCTATTCATAAGGTTTTCAATGGCTAATTCTTTTCAGAAATAGACCACTGGGTCCTTCTTCCTAGTCTGTCTTAGTCTGGAAGCTCAGCTGAAACCTGTCCACCATGGTTAACCCTGCTTGTATCAGAATACCAGTGGCATAGCTTCCAGCATCACTGCAACATGCAAGCCCCCACAGTATGACAAACTGACAGACATGTGGGGAAGAAATAGCATACAATCAGCAATCCCACTCCTAGAAATACATCCTAGAGAAATAAGAGCCATCACAAGAATAGACATATGCATACCCAAGTTCATTGTAGCATTATTCACAATAACATAAAGATGGAAACAACCAGTACCCATCAACAGATGAATAGATAAACAAACTATGGTACATACACATAACGGAATACCATGCAACAAAAAAAAACAATGATGAATCTGCAAAATGTCTCACAATACGGATGCATCTGTAGGGCATTATGCTGAGTACAATAAGTCAATCACAAAAGGACAAATACTGTATGAGACCACTATTATAAAAACTCATTGAAATGTTTACACACAGTAAGAAATAATCTTTGATGGTTATGAGGGAGGGGAGGGACAGGGAAGGAAAAATACGAAGTAGACAATACATAAGTGGTAACTTTGGTGATGGGTAAGACAGTACACGATACTGGGAAAGTCAGCACAACTTGACCAAGGCAAAGTCATAGAAGCTTCATAGACACATCCAAACTCCCTGAGGGGCTGAGTTACTGGGCTGAAGTCTGGGGACCATGGTCTCGGGGGACACCTAGCTCAATTGGCATAACATAATTTATAAAGAGAATGTTCTACATCCTACTTTGGTGAGTAGCATCTGGGGTGTCAAAAGCTTGTGATCAGCCATCTAAAATACAACTATTGGTCCCATCACATTTGGAGCAAATGAGATTGAAGAAGACCAAAGACATAAGGAAAATATCAGTCCAAAGGACTAATGGACCACATGAACCACAGCCTGCACAAGCCTGAGCCCAGAAGAAATAGATGGTGCCCAGCTACTACCATTGACCTATCTGACAGGGACCACAATAGAGGGTTCTGGACAGAGCAGGAGAAAAATGTAGAACAAAATTCAAATTCACAGAAAAAGGCTAGACTTATTGGTCTGACAGAGACTGGAGGGATCCCTGAGACTATGGCCCTCGGCCACACTGCTAACTCAGAACTGAAGCCACTCCCAAATGCACCTTTCAGCCAAAGTTTAGACAAGCCTATAACACAAACAATAACACATGTGAGGAATGTGCTTTTTAATTCAATCAAGTATAGGAGATTTAGTGGTCAACGCCTGCCAAAAAGCAAAGACAAGAAGGCAGGAAGGGACAGGAAACCTGGACAAGTGGACACAGGGAACCCGGGGTTTAAAGGGAAAGGGGGAGAGTGCTGACATATTGCGGGGACTGCAACCATTGTTACAAAATAATTTATGTATAAATTTTTGAATGAGAAGCTAATTTGAGCCGTAAATTTTCACCTAAAACACAATAATAAAAAAAAAAAGACACCTACCTTCTGCCCGGCTACCGTTACTGAATATATTGATCAAAGATTCTATAGAAGAATCCTGATCAAAGCGGGGAAAATGTAAGACAGAATTTTAAAAAAGACTTTCTGGTGCCAAGGTGCTGAATGAACCCCTGAAACTATTGTCCTGAGATAATCTTTAAAACTTAACACAAAAATGTCCTCTGAAGTCTTCTTAAAACCAAGCAACACTTTAACTTAACTAGTAAAAAATGTCTGCCTTGAGCATTATGCTCTTTTAACAATTATCTCTATGGGATCAAAGTGACAACAACAACTCAACAAGTTAGATAGGAACCTTAGGGGGCAGTATGTTTATGTTAATGGGGAAGGAACAACTCAGAAAAGGAAAGTGAGAATGGTTGCACAACTCGAAGAATATAAACAACGGCACTGAAATGTACTTGAAGAAATGGTTGAAATGGTGTACGTATTGCTGTATTCTGCTGGGTTCTACTGGGGAAGTCTGAAGTTTTGAAGGTTTCAAAAAGTGGCTCTTTAGGACAGAGTGGGGAAGGGAGTGAGAACCTGAGAAGATAAGAACCTTCAAAGGAATGTCCTCAATTACAGAACAAAGGATTTCAGGCCCAAATTTGTTTTGTATGTTTTCTACTCTTGAGATACAACACAATCACTTCACCAAGGCCTAAAATAAACCACACATAGCTCTCTGAAGGTAGAAACCAACCCTGCTTTATAAGGGTGTGTGGTTGTCTTGGTTTCCCTGCTGAGATATGAGGCACCAGCCAAGTGACAGAGGGCGAACCTTCTTCACCTTCTCCCCATTCCCACCATCCCACCAACCCTATAGATACCCATTTCTGCAATTCAAATGCCCTGATGAGGGCGAGGTGGAGGAGGCAGTGGTTCAGGCAGGTCAGCAGGTTCCCATGAGGTAGTTAACATCGTGCTCCTGCGGAGGGACTAGTGGCTGGAACCACTCATGGGCTCACAGCAGCAAAGAGGGAGTCACTGGTTGACTGGGAAATGAGGGAAGCAGAATGTCTCGAAGTCTGCCCAGACTACTTGATCAGAGGTAACATCTGGGTAGAGAGTCTGGGCTCTTTGCTGGTGTCCTCACTGTCCTTTGAGGGATTGGGTTTTCTGGGGAAAGGAAATGCATTTTTAAAAAATGATTTTTTTTTTTAAAAAAGACACTGACCTTCCACAGACTCTCCATCTGTAAAACAGGAAATCACACTTAGCTCACCAGGCTGTTGTAGAATCAAATGAGATAAAATATGTGAAAGCTCTTGGTAAATTGTAAAATGCATACACACATGTTCATCATTTATATTCAAATATCATTCTCAGAAATAATATCAGAAGTGATTGTTGGTTTGTCTTAGGCTGTGTAACATTAGCATATTACTAAGACAATTGAAATGAAAATAGAGATACACCAATCATTTATTCACTTACAAGCTGAAGCACAAATGATTTCCAAAAATCTAGTTGACCAAATATTTATCGTTTTACTATTTTTTATTAAGACTAAAAGATACAAAGATGAGGAAAATCCAGGCCATATTCTCAAAGCAGTGACATTCCAATGGAAGTGGATAAAAAATGAAATATAGGTACTAAAGGCCTTCAAGGATGTCCACTGAATGCTGTGGGAGTTTGAAGAAAGAACAGGACAAGTCCATATGGGGTAATAATGAAAGCTTCCTGAAAGTGACAGCATTTCCCCCATACACACACATACCTCCTGTCCAATCTCATAAAGACAAGGAAACTGAAACCCAAAAAAAGAAGGTGACTAGCCCAAAGCCACTCTGTGCATTGAAGACAGAGACAGAGTGAAATCTTGGATACCCCAGTTTCTTGCCTCTACTCCCTCATCTATTTCTCTTCCCAAATCACTTCCTCCCCATCAGTCTCCTCATGGCGTTTTTCACTTCAGCATTCCTGAAGGAGTAAATGATGGGGCTTAAGAGTGGTGTGACCACTGTGTAAAACACAGCCACTATCTTGTCCACAGGGAGGCTGACACAGGGCCTCAAGTAAACAAAGGAACAGGGTACGAAGAACAGCCCCACAACCATAATGTGCAAGGCACAGGTGGAGAGGGCCTTGCGCCGCCCCACTGAGGTCTGACTCCTTAGGGAGTGCAGGATGACCATGTAGGAAGCAAGCAGCACAGCAAAGCTGATCACCGAAATGGAGCCGCCATTAGCAGTGATTAGCAGGCCAATGAGAAAGGTGTCTGAGCTGGCCAGCTTCAGCATGGGGTGGACGTCACAGAAGTAATGGTCAATGATGTTGGGGCCACAGAAGGGTAGCTGGAAAATGAGGAAGGTTTGCCCAGCAGAATGCAGCAAGCCCCCGCCCCAGGCGGCCCCCACCAGGAGACCACACAAACAACGGTTCATGATGTCCGTGTAGTGCAAGGGCTTGCAGATGGCCACGTAACGGTCATAGGCCATCACTGTCAGGAGGAAGATCTCGGTGCCACCAAAGAAATGGAGGAAAAATATCTGTGTGATGCAGCCCTTGAGGGAAATGACTTTCCTCTCGGTAAAGGAGTCAATGATGAGCCTGGGCACTGTGACAGAACAGTAACAGATCTCCACAAAGGCCAAGTAGCTGAGGAAGAAATACATGGGGGAGCTGAGGCCTTTACTGGCCATGATGGTCACCACAATGAGTCCATTGCCTAACACAATGGCTGTGTACATGAGGAGAAACACCACAGAAATGATCTTCTGCACATCCCAGTTCTGGGAAAATCCCAAGAAAATTATTTCAGTCACATTGCTTGTAGCAGCCATGGCTTAAAGTGCAGGGACTGACAGCCTGGAAGCACAGAAACCAAAAAACTCTCGTCAGTAGTTAGAAGCATCCTTTTCAGGCCTTGAAGACTATTGTCATTCTGCTCCCTTCTGAGTTCCTGCTCTGTCTATGCTTCCCCCAAAACATGTTCTCCATGAGACAAGTGGACAAAAGAACAATCAGTGATTGCTTGATAGCATTCCCAAAATAGGATTTGAGCTTATGATAATGCTTCCTTGAAATGTTTCCTATGATACAGGCACGTGCATTGGCTAATTTAATCCTAAAAACAAAAATGAGGGGATATTTTATTATAAGAAAACCAAGACCCAGAGAAGTTAAGTCACTTACCCAAAGCCACCCAGCTCATAGATGAATGGAGGTCCATATTTTTCAAAATGTAGATGCTTCTATTACATCTCTTATTTCTTCAGAGTGCCTTACTTCAGTTGCAAAATAAGAGTTTTATATCAAGCTTGCCTTACACTGTAATATGAGACTGGTTACGTTCAATGAGTGCTGAGATTTCTCAACCTCGATTATTCTGCAGACAGTGAAACTAACCAGGGTCCCTAACAGGCATAAGAAAGAAGCTAAGGAGGGGAGAGGAGGGAGGATCAAAGTTGTGAATATTCAACCACTGTCCTTGGAGGTGGGTATGGAGAAGGGGAAATGTGAGGTTATAAGCGACTGCCTCCATGGTCTTGGGGCTAATGGCTAAGAAACAAGTCAAAGGCATTGAAGTCCCATTTTATAGCATAGTCTGTTGCTCCTTGGGTTTGTCCTAAGATGCTTCAATCAGAACCCCAGAGCACAGTAAGTCTACACAAGGAAAGCCTGGAAGATCGGTGTCGATCCTGCCTCCCACAGCAACAGCATCTTACAGAGACCCAGATATGCACGATAGAGAACCCTGAGGACTAACAGAGGTGACCAGATCACAGCCTTTTAAGCGGTCTTTCCCTCAGGGTGAAACAAGCCCTGCCAGCAAACCCGAAAACATCCTAAATCAATATTCACACACTTCAAAGTCCAGGCCAGTCCTTACCATGTTGGAAAAGAGCTATGGCACTGTGACCTAGTGAGAGGGTTTGAGGTCAGAGGACCTGGGTTCAAATCCTAGCACTAACACTTAATATCTCTGTGCCCTTAAACAAGTACAGAAATCCTTCCAAATCAACAATTTTCATCTGAAAAATGGGAATAAAAATACTTTTTGTATAGTGCCATTTTGAGAATTGAGTGGGCTCATATATTTTAAACACAATTACAAACACAAGAGTATAATTTATTATGCATTTACTCTGCCCTATCATCCACTGATAAAATGACATCCTATTTGGTAAAGTAGAGGGTCAGTGAAAACGAGGAAAACCTTCCACAAGATGGATTGACACGGTGGCTGCCACAGTGAGCTCAAACATACCAAAGATTGTGAGGATGGTGCAGGATCGGGCAACATTTCCTTCTGTTATATGTAAGGTCACCGTGAGTTGGAGCTCACCTGGAAGCAACTAACAATAACAACAATAACACCCTTTGCAAGATGCTGTTGCTGCAGGAAGCAGGCTTGACACCCAGGCTTTCCTTGTGTAGTCTTGCTGTGCTCTGGAGTTCTGATTTCTGTGGACTGTTATAAATGAGATTTAAAAGCCTTTGATGTGATCCTTAGCCATTAGTCCCAGGAGCAGGAAGGCATCCTGTTCTGCATTGTACTTCCCCTTCTCCAGAGCCACTTCCCCAAGAATGGTGGTTGAAGCTTGGTGATTTTGCCTCCTCCCACCCTTAGTTTCTTTCTTATGCCTGGTAGGGAGCCTGGTTAGTTTCACAACTTGCAGAATAATTTGGGTTGGGAAATCCTAGCACTTTATGATGTAAGACAAAACTGAAATGAAATCCTTATCATACTGACAACATAAGGACCTCTGCAGAAGTAAGAGATATAATAGAAACATCTATGTATCTTTTCAAATATGAGCTTTGTGGCTTTGGGCAAGTGACTAAACCTGTCTGATCCTTAATTTCCTTATCTATAAAATGCAGATAATACTGTCTGCTCACTTGTGTTCCTCCCTTACCTCCCCACCATGCTCCTCTGTGTACCCAGTTAATCCTTCTGCCATAGATACAGTGGACACTACACCCTATGCCAATGTTTCACACACAGGATGTTGATGCAGAAGACAGGAATCTTAGGTGGACCTGCATCACCCTCAAGGGGAAAAATGGCTCTATTACCTTCTGTGAAATGTAGCTTCAAAAGTGAATACTCTCTGTTTCTATAATGGTTTCTGATTTGGGGTGTCAGGAAGAGAGGTTCTTTCAGAGGAGTTGCAAGGACCACTTTAGTTTTCAGATTTACAAGAATAGTTGTTTTTTTCTTGTCCAAGATTATTGAAGGTTAACAGAGAAAGATGTATATATAGTATAATGATCAATTTTTCAAAAAAAGTTAAAAGTTGTTTTAGAATGGAAGAAAAGGAAGCTAATATTTATTGAACCTCTGAATAGAAATGGAAAATATTTGAGAGAGAATGTCATACAGAGGTCGTCAGACCAGTTAGCAATTGACAGTGGCCATGGCATTTTACCTGTGGGGTCTAAAATACCTTTAATTCTGACTGTTTAATTGTTGGGGCCAAAAGAAGAAACTCTGAAGGATAGGTATGTGTTCTCATCAGACAGTCAGTAACCAAACGTTACCAGTGTTTGTGGTTAAGAAAACTTAAAATTAGAATGAACATACAAGCTTAAGATGAGCTGCCTCCAACAAATAACTTCTGTGAAAATGCTTTCAGTCTTTAAAACAAATCTGGTCCCTACTCAATGGTTCTCATTTTATTTTCCATGTTCTATAACCACATGTACTGTGAGTTCTCAAAAATAAGATTTATCTGGCTTCTTCCATCATTTCTTTTCTCCCACGTTTTCTCCCGAAGATACCATGTCACTAAAGAAATCAGATGGTGACTCCTTCCAAGTTTCCTTCCCTGAGCGATCATAAACTGTTAACGTTGGAAGGAAACTTGTGGATCCTCGAGACTGACTTTCTCATCTTAACAGAAGTGGAATCTGGAACCCAGAATCACACAGTTGATTGGTGCAGATCTTGCACCAGAGGCTTCATAGCTTCCTGTCTATCCCTTGCTTCACTGGTTCCAGAACTGAGGAAGAACATGGAGAGAGAAAAGAACCATGTGTATAACAAAACGCAAAGCAAAACTAGAGTAAAGTCTGAATGAATGAGAAAATGAATGACTGAATAAGAGAATTAACAAGAACGTGTTTCAATTTCAGTTATCTGCTTGCCTGAGGGGCGATCTCTTCCCAGACAGTCTGGGCAGAGTTTACAGGACTGGAGAAGAAAGGATGTTTCAGGAATCAGCCAAACTGGACCACCAGGGAAAGATTTGCAAGATTTGCCTTGGGAACTTGAGATCTTAGCTCTAGCACTTGGGCACCAAGCTTTAAATTATTCTCTACCTGTTTCTCATGTATCTGTCATGTCTCTCCAAACAAAAGTAAGCTTTTGAGGGCAGAAACAGTGCCTCTTGCAGCCTATGTAGTACCAAGCACAGAGGTGGGAACAAAGCAGATGTTAGTGTTTTTTGTTTGATCCCTTGATCTTCCATCTGCTACTATATCTGTTTCAAAGACAAAGTAACACTGTGGGTGTGCTACAAACAGCATGGAAGCTAAAATATAAGGGGATAAAGTTATCTACTCTAAAAATATAAACTCTTCTTTTTGAAAGTAAAATCCAAGGCATGCCCCAGTTTAGACTAAGTGAATGAACCTACCTTGAACATTGTTTGTTGCCTTGATTCTTAGCTTTATCTTCTGGATGCCTTTTGTAGTCATAAAACTGATTCACTTGTACCACATCACCCCAGGAAAACAGTTTTATTTCACTAACAAAGTCTAAAGACAAAGTGATCAAAGAAATATGAAGACTGAATTAGTATTCACAGGTCTAAAACCTGGAGATCTTGGCTCAAGACTTGATCCTCAGCAAAATTTGGGCTTCTGTGAGGCTAGTCTCGGTTCAGGTTCAGATGGGGCTAATTTTTATTTTTCCCAAAAAAGCCAGATGTGAGAATGTCTTAGACAGGCCACTTGAATTTTTCAAAAGAATATTCCTGAAAAATGCATGACTCACCAGTGGATTGAAAACTAACTCTGCAAACTAATCTATGCTGGCCATGATGCCTGTGGCTCAGATGAGAATGACTATAACCTCTGCTCTAAGCCAAGATATAAATTAGATTTCTCACAGATGCCAAAAACCTGTCATTTAACTAGGAAGGAGAGCTGTAGAACAGGATGATGTTTAAAGTCTACCCCGTCTGCTGAAAGAGTCAGCAAATCTAAGAAAGGCTCCCATATATGAAAGCGTGTGGAAGTAAGAGTAACACCAGCGGAAGAAGCCAATGTATGTGAAAGCCCCTGAGCGAGGATCTGTCCATCCATGGTAAGGGCTTAATGAATATAACTGTGTCAGAATCTGTTAAACACATGAAAAGCACTGCTAAATGTTGATCTTCCCCATGGCCTCACCAGGTGCCATCAATCCCTTGAGCTCAGTGTATAAACTCCAGCACTTAATGACTTTCTCCCTAAGAAAGTTACATGGGTCTAGAACAGGGTCAGTCTACTCTAAAACCCACCAAAAAGAGGACTGAAGAAAATATTTGCTGAATTGAGAAGCCTGAAACATTTAACGTATATGATGGAAAACTGAGATCAGAGAATAAAATTCCCTGAACTTTTCTAGCATCCTCTGTCTGGCGAGGTCCTAAGTGAAGAAAAAGTCAGATTCCCCATTGCTTCATTCAGAGGTTAAGGAACCTATCTTCTAATTAATCCCATTATAAAGCTGGGACTTCTATTTCTCCTTTCATGATTAGTCCCCTCTAGATTTGGCCCCTAGAGGTTTCCCTCACTACTCTCAAGTGAATGATGGAGGAGACTCCAATACCACGTCCTCTCTCCATCCTCA